TATGTGTTAAACTATACAATTTCATTCATTTTTGTGGCATATACAAATATTCTAGAGCAATAATATGTTTTTTTTTTCTTTCTTTTTTTTTGTGTCTCTTTTTTTTTCTTTCATCTATATCAAATACATATCGTTTTTGCTGTTGTTTTCCTGATATAAAATATAATATCTTAATGGATTTTCTTTTTGTTTTGGAAATTCATAGAAAGATTCAATCATCTGTTGAACGAAGAAAAATATGCGACATCTGTTTTTTGTCAATCATAAAATATATATATATATATATCTGTTATCAAGTCTGAATTTATAATTTCTCAATATTATTTCGATAGTCATCTGTATAGAGTCAAATTAGCCGTTTTCATACAAGTTTCTTTAATTCAATGATTTTCTATAACTATCAATTACTTATACTCGCAACTTGTCTTGCATATCAATAAGTTGATAAAAGACATCAGTCAATTTGTAAAACAAATATCAATTGAATAGAATAGAAACTGAAGTATTTTATCCTAAAAATATTGATATAATAAATCATTCTCTGATTATGATATTTGTAAAAATAAATGTATAATCGATTTTTTTGTCATGTGATATTTCTATGCTGATTTTTCATACAATCATACTACGGTAAAAACGAATAACTGTAATATTCGGAAGTGTGAATCTGATGGTTAAAATAAACCTTGCATACTACTTGATATACTATCATGATTTTTTTTTGCATTGATACATCATAATAGTTCTTTTTTACGAATCATTAGTTCGTTATGTCCTAATCGATTTTGTCTACTCATACTTTCATCAGATAAAGTATTTATCGATTAAAATTTCTCTTACATAATTCCATATGAATTACGTTCTCTTGTTTAACAAGATTAAAATAATAACTCATCGAATCTCAATTACTTATACTGGAAACATATTCATTTCTAGTTAAAATTAAAATATAGTACGAGTCACAATCAAAAGTTATTTGTCATCCTCTATTTCTTGCCATAATCCACTTTCGAAATCATACATACGAATCTAAATAAAAAATAAGTAAAGAAATAAATGTTTTATATAATCTCGACATACTGGATGTAAATTTAATTGATGAGAATCAGTTACATTAGGTTTTTCTTCACTAATAGTCAATTTTGTTTGTGCTATAGTAATAACATGATTTATTTGAAAATTAGGAATATCTGTTAATTTTTCCCATTGATCTTTCGTCTTATTATATGAATATATTTTATCTTAAAAATAAAACAAGATTACTACAGAAAAAAATAAAGAGATACGATTGAAATTTACCTACAACTTTCGCTTTACCATCAATAAGAGTGTAACCACCTGAATGAAAAAATTCGAAGAAAAAAAAGTTTATCTAATTGAGTGTTTTATATACCTGCAGCTATAAATCATCAATAGATAATAATTATATATATATGAACTTCTTACCATAAAGTTCTAATTCATCATTATTATATGTACAAATAACAAGTGTTCGAGCTCGCGGTGGATTAAGATCAGCATATCGACGCCAAACTTTTTCATTAAGACTAATAAAATAAATGAAAAATACTAATAAAATTTATTTCATACTCCATTTGATAATGAGTCGATAGCATGTCTGTTTCACCTATATAATCAAGTCATAAAAATTATCATAGTCATTTTCTATATTTATACCAATAACAAAATCATATCCACCAATTACAATAACACGATTTTCTGAAAAAGCAACTCCAGGAGCCAAAATTGGATGTGGATACGATGGAAGTTTCACCCAACCTTCATCGATATTTTGTGTATCTAAAATAAATACACTTGATAATGATACATTATCATATGTATGTCCTCCAATGATTATAATATGACGTTCAGATGGTGCTACACCAAATGCAACACGACCTGGTGATGGAATTGAAGGAATTGCTCGACATGATTTACTATCCTAATTAAAATATAAAATCAATGCAAATTTTTATTCTCTTCAATACTAACAATATCGTAAACAAAATCATTTAATGGTTGTGAACGTATTTTATTTTCTATATCAAAATCATAACCACTGATAATAAATACAAATTTCTGATAATTTATTAAAGCATAACGTCGTCTTTTTAATAAATGATCACCTAAACAATGTTCTAAAGATAAACCAATTATTTCTGATATTTCTTCATCAGTTCGTTGAATATCCGGTGCAGAAAGTATCACAGAAGGTTTTGCTGAACGTTCACTTTCTGTTAATACCTAGAAAAGACGATCAAAATAATTCTACCGTTAATATTATTTCGTATAATCATAATTGTAAGTCATATTGACATTTTCAATTCCTTTCTCTTCTATTCCAACAAAGAAAATATACATTATTTTGATTAATTACTCTCTACTCGAGCTGTCTTCGCTTTGTTTTTCTCTTTTATCAAACCATTATGACATATTTCAGTATTCAAAGTGAATTTATTTCTCAAAATTTTCCTTTTTCAAAAATTCATCTATACGACTACAAACAGCATATTTATATGCAATAAAGTAGATATGACTCTCTTACAGCTCAATAGAAAAATCATCTACGAGATTATATCTATTGATAAGAACATAAAAACATCGTATTCATTCGAAAAAATAACTAATCTAGGATATTCAGACGCAACTGTTTTATTTTCGTGTTATAAATTCATTATATAATAAACATACAGATTTCATTTGTCCATAACCCGGTTGAAATTTTTGAAGAAAATTTGCAAATAATCCTTCACATTTATACATTCCTGCTGTAACTAATTCATTTTTTTGATTATTAGCATACATTTGATAGTTCGCTGGAATTAAATGTTCCATTAATTTTCTCTTTTACATTCGATAAATAAACGAATAAAAATTGCAGCAATTCCCGCTTTAGTGTATTTATTTCAAAGAGAAAACACAAAAAATC